TTTACCCTCTCCCCATAGGCCATATCAAGTAAAATAGTAAATGGGAATATGCCTTGTGAATGTGAAAGTGCTAGATTGGCCGTGTTGTCAACATCAGAATCACTGGAACCTTCACTAAACGTTTGAAGGGCTCCACTCTCCTGACCTAATTCTTGCTGCCGCTCCCTGCCCCCTTCCCATTCTGGTTAAGAATGTCCAGGGAGGAGCAGTCATTCTGCAGCGTGAAAAAGTTTCTTAGCGATGCTGCCATAGCCCATTGCCTCTTCCCCATACTCGAGTTGTAAACCGCTGTGCTTAGATTTATGAGTTAAAATCTTATCACAGTTTTTAAAGGTACAGTTTAGGATGCTTTTAAGCTGAAGCACTAGGAGGGTGACGCAAGCTGACATTTCTGACTGTTGGCTGGATGATTTGGGGCAACTGAGAAACAGTCTTGGCTCCCAGGATTTCTAGTATTGGTGTCCTTGGGGCAGAAATAAATGTGTCAGCACGCGAGATTCACGTGTAGGATTCAGTGGGGATTTTTTTTAAATGTTAAGAATTTTAGTTTCCTCTTTGCTTTCCTTTCTTCCTCCCTCCCCACAGCTAACACATTTATTTTCCAATAGGTCAAGGAAGTTAAAAAGACTCCCTCGGGCTTGGAACTCTCCGTGGTTTCTTCAGTTCCTGGTTGGAAACCCACCTTAACCACGATTCCAGATGTTGACTGCCTGCTCTGGGCCATTGGGCGGGACCCAAATTCCAGCGGCCTGAATTTAGACAAACTGGTAAACTGATTTAATCTGCCCAAAACATTCTTGAATCTCGGAGTAGCCCCGTGTTCCCCCCTACCCACCCAGACCCCCCAAATTTTAGTGGGTTCTATTGGATGTTTTTTCCCTTTATTCCTTGCATCCAGTTTGTCCTCAAATCCCATTGCTGCTTTGAACTTAAAAGATTTTTCTTTTTAGTGTTGTCACCCTGTATCAGGCCTCTGCCACTTCTAATCCAGATCGTCTAGCAGTGTCCTGACTAGCCTCTTTCTTACAGATTTCCTTTTTACTGTAATACTTGTCTCTTTAAAGCCCTGTAATTATTGCTTATTGTTTGCAGCTCTAATCCTGGTAGCTGGGTGTGTAAATTGTCTGGATGTTGTGGCATTTGGGGATGGGAACAGATGTGAAGTGAAGTTGACCTACCAGTGTTATAATTAGCATTCTTATTTGTGCTCTTAAATTTTGAAGGAAAGTCTAGTAAAGTAGTTTGGAGCTTGGGTCCCAGAGTTGACCCAATTTTGAACCATAGTTTTGTTACCAGTTGCATGGTCTTATCAAGCAAGAGGCATAATTACTCTTAAATTTAAATTGCTTCATATAAATATGGGAGTAATAAAAGTACTTGCCTCATTGAATTAAAGAGAAGAGTAAATGAGAAAGTGCATGTAAAGCAATAAGCTGAGATTCCAGCTTATAGTATAAATTCAATAAATGTTAATCAACTGCTATTGATGGTAGTGATGATGATGATTTTTTTGAGATGCTATACTACTATTCTAGTAATAATAGATATTTTATGTGTTTGAGGTTTATACATTTGAAGGAGCCTCTGGAGAAGTATATAATATTTTGATTTATGTTCTAATATTTATATCTGTTGAAATGTAGATTCCTTTTTCATTTCTATAAAAGGTATTTTTCAGCATAAAAATAATATCTAGGGAGATGTTTGACTTGCTTTTAATCTTATTGTTCAGTGAAATTTAGTAAAACTATTTTCATATTAACAAAACTAGTCATTCAGATTTCTATCAAACTTCAAGTAATATTTGCCTTTGTACAGACATAGGCATTGGCAGGTCCAGTTTTCAGCTATATTTGCTGAATTTTTTTTTAAAGAGGCGAAATTTTCATTTCATTCAAGTTAAGATCTATATTTGTAATGCAGATTCAAATGATTGCTATGTGTAGATCTTGTCAGCATGTTACCAACCAAATTTAATCTTGCCAACAGCCCTTTGAGGTGTAAGGGTGAGGAAACCAGGAGTATAGAGTTAGTAAACAATTCATGGCTGCAAACTCCATGGAGCCAGGAGGATATCTGTAGTACTTACACTGTATTTGTAGTGACTAGGTTAATGCCTCATTTGTACTAAAAATTCAAGCATTGTTGATATATAGGTGGTTATATAAGGTCTCATAGCTCATAAATGGCAGAGCTGGGATTTGAACCCAGCTCTATCTGGCTTCAAAGGTAATACACTCTTAACCACTAAGCTGCCTACTTCCTACTCCTGTTGTGTCTCTGCTTCTCACATAGGAGTATATACCGCTGGGATCTAAAAAGCCACACAATAAGCATGACACATCTTGGAGCAAAAATTTGACTTAATATATGGGAAAAAATTTTTGGTTAAAGGAAACAACAGTATGTTTTAGAGTAGAATGCAAAATGCACTTGGATTTTTAAAGATTAAATGGTAATTTTCAAACAAATCTCCTTCTGCTGACTGCTTCGGGTTGTGCCCCTCCAAGGTGTGAGTTAGTACACTTCAGGAGGAGTACTGCAGTGGAGAGTTGGAAAGCACTGTCCTAAAGGGACTCCATGGGGATAGCAAGTGTCACGCCTGATAGTTGAATGAGTCCTTTCGTTTTACCTGATCAGAGGAGTTGTGCATTGCAAGGTCAAATCCTGTTAAAATACTTCAAAATTAGATAAAATATTTCCCTTTTAAATCAAGCAAAAGATAGGAAACTTGTCAGTTTGCCAAGATGTTTTTCATCTTGTGGTTGAGTCTTGTGGTTCTTAGAGATTCAGGCTATTAAAGAGGTGCCTGAATTGAGGCAAATCCAGAGATTTGATCTGCCATTTTTTTGTAGATGGACCAAATATTTACATGATGTCCCTGCACAATTTTAGGGAATTCAAACTGATTACAAAGGTCACATCATCGTAGATGAATTCCAGAATACTAACGTGAAAGGCATCTACGCAGTTGGGGATGTGTGTGGAAAGGCTCTTCTTACTCCAGGTAATGTTGTTTCTTTTCTTTTCTTGGGTAAGGGAGGCTCTGTGTGTTATATAAAACTGCTTAGCAGTTCACAATCAAATCAGCTTAAGCAAAGTCAAATGGATGAGTGTCTTCATATCATCAAAATGATAAAAATGTACTGAAATAAATGATGGTTGGGTGCCTGACATTTTCTGAATAATACTCATTTTTACTTTAAAAAATGCTTAGTGAATATTGAAATTTTTATATAGATGATACAGTCACTCTCTGAAGAACACTGTAAGTTAGAATCTGTGTTGTGTGTGGTTGACAGTGGAAGGAAGTGGCTTTAGGAAGAAGAAATTTAGCGTGGGATTCTTCCATGACTATTAGTCTTGATACAACCAAGACTGACCCCCCTACCCCCCGTCCTCTGAATCCTGTACCTCAGCCTACTTCCTGAGTTAACCGGCACCTTTTCAAGCTCTCTGTCCCACTTCTCTCTGTTACCAGCACCGCTCCATACGCCTCTGGGACCTCACCAGCCATTCCAGAATGGCCCTGGGTCTTACCTCAGAATGGAAACGTCCCCAGTTACACACACAAAGCCTTTTGTCGTCTTTAGGAAGTTCTCTCAAAAGCAGAATAACAGGCAAAGCTTCAAAAACTTTAAAACATAATCTTACAGTTGAAAATTTTGTCAAAGTGAAGAAATTTCTTATGTTTCCTACTGATACCTTACTTTGGAAAGAAAAAAAAAATCACCTGACAATTTGAAATCAATAAAATTAATAACTGATGCTTTTACTGATCTCAGATATTTATTCTAAAAAACTGTTAGGAATAAAAACAGGCTAAGGAGAATAAACTTTAAAAAAATAAAATCCTGGCTGGTGTGGCTGAGTTCGCTGATCGTCAACCAAAAGGTTGCCGGTTCATTTCCCAGTCAAGGCACATGCCCGGCTTGTGGCCTGATCCTTAGTAGGTGGCGTGTAGGAGGCAGCCCATCAATGGTCCACTCTCACATCAATGCTTCTCTTTCTCCCTCTCCCTTCCTCTCTCTCTAAAAATCAATGAAAAATAAATAAGTAAATAAAATAATTTTTTAAATAAACATTAAAATATTAGTGTGAACTGAATATGGTTATAAAGTAGAACTGAAGATGCTCAAAAGTAATATAGTTTGCTCCATAAATATTGTATCAGAAAGCTAATATCCTCAGTATGTAGGTAACTGCCAGATGATTGGGAACTTGTAAATGTGTCTTTCTCTTTTTTGTGACATAATAGAATAAGCTGTTAGTTTTGAATTGTTAACTAAGGCATTGATACATCTTCATTATATTGAACTAGGTGGTATAATGAGCATTGGTGTGAGACTGTCAGAACTAGTATGTTAAACCAGATGGCTAAATGGTTAGAATAATTCTGCTGTGTTAAAATGAGCAATAAGCTAACCACTGATTTTTAAATATCTTTACAGTTGCCATTGCTGCTGGCCGAAAACTTGCCCATAGACTTTTTGAATGCAAAAAAGATTCCAAATTAGACTATGACAACATCCCCACGGTGGTCTTCAGCCACCCCCCTATTGGCACAGTGGGACTCACAGAAGGTCAGTATTTAAAAATAAAGGTCCTTTACAGTTTCCTTCCTTTCACCCCCAATTTTAAAGTGGGTGTGTCAGCTGACAAAATTGATCTCAGCCCCTTAAGTTGCATTCCTTTTTGGTTAGCCTCTTGTCACAGCTCCAATTTCCTGCCTGACGACTACCGCTTTGAGAGTATAATTCCTTTTCCTCACTCTGCCCTATCTATCTCTTTGACTTTTTTATTTGAACTAATTTCAAATTTAAAGAAAAGTTATAAAGATAATACAAAGGAGCCCTGGCCATTGTTGCTCAATGATTAGAGCATCAGCCTGCACGCGGAAGGGTCTCTGGTTCGATTCCCCGTCAAGGGCATGTACCTGGGTTGCAGGTTCAGTCCCCAGCCCGCCGGGGCGCGTGCAGGAGGCAACTGATCATGTGTGTCTCTGACATCGATGTTTTTCTCTCTCTCTCTCTCTCTCTCACTCCTTCCTTTCCATTCTCTAAAAATCAATGGAAAAAAATACCCTCTGGTGAGGATTAACAAAAAATATAAATACAGAGGACTCCTGAATACCCTTAATATTTTTACTTTTATCATTTTCTTTCTGCACACACACACACACTTTAGTATCTATTTCCTAAGGCCAGGCTGTTCCTTTAGAGAAGCACAGTTCCCTTTTCAAATGAGAACGTTTAAATTGATACAATATTATCGAAACTTCAGACCTTATTCAGATTTTGCCAGTTATCTCAAATCATGTCACTTAACATTTTTCCCCTAAGTGCAGCATTCAGTCCAAGCTAATACACTGCGTTTAGTTCTCACACCTCTTTTGTCTCCTTTAACTGGGAGACAATATTCCTCAGTCTTTTATCTTTCACAACATCAGCATTTATTTTGTAGACCATTGCTCCCGTGGTTTTGTTTGGTATTTCTTCATGATTCAATTGGGGTTATGTATTTCTTGCCCTCCCTTTGATAGGTCAGTGGAATTGTTTAGTTTTTTGATAGATGCTTTTTTCCTTGCATAGATGAGGCCATTTCTAAATACGGAAAGGAAAATGTGAAGACCTATTCAACCACCTTCACCCCAATGTATCATGCAGTTACCAAAAGGAAAACAAAATGTGTGATGAAAATGGTTTGTGCTAACAAAGAGGAAAAGGTATGGGACCTCCCCACTGAGCTAGAGCGACTTTAAGGTCGGTGGGGGTGGGAGGCACTTTGGTGGGGTGGGGAAGCAGGAGACCAAGTAGTTAAGCCTTCTCTGACTCAGTTGGTATGGCCCCACTTTTCTCTGTCTGTCTGTATATTGAGGTTCTTCATAATATTTCATTTAGAAAGAAGGTTCCACCGCAGATATGAGGAGGAAAGGTCGAAAACTACAAAAAGCTCACTATCATTGGCCAGAATAGATAGGAAACTCAGAAATATTGTTAAGTGTAAGAATTTAATGCAAGATAAACTTAATATAACCAATCACTGAAGAATATGAAGTCTAGTCAATAAAACTATGTATTTTTGGTTTAACTTTTTGAGGAACTACCAAATTATTTTCCAAAGTGGCTGCCATTTTACATTTCCCTCAGCCATGTATGAGGGTTCCAGTTCCTCCACACCCTGGACAACTCTTGTTACTGTCTTTTTTATTGTAGCCATTGAAGTGGTATCTTATTGTGATTTTGGTTTGAATTTGAACAGTCGTTTTAAAACAGAATTTATGAAGTAGGTTTTGTTTTGGTATTTAGGCAGCCTGTTGGGCTTTTCTACAAATGGAATGAAATATTGTAATGCAGCTTAGCAGTATGGTGTGGAAACCTGTCTCCAAGACGGACTTAATCGAAGATTCAGTTGTATTTTTCCAACTGCTCTTATAAAAAAGAGCATGGTCTGTATTCAGTTCAGTGTCCCTGTACTCCAAGAGCCACAGGACATAGTCCCTGGCTCACAGAAGTCAGTGTCGGTGAGGACTGACAGATGCAGCGAATCAGGGCAAAGAGAAGAAAGGAAGTAGTCGGCAGCAAAGCGAACATCACTGTTTCTTGACCCTGAATGTGCCTCAGTAGCCTAAGCTTTCCAGATGTTGAATCAGCAGGGCCCCTGCTTACCTCTTCATATCAGTTATTTCTTCATACCATTTATCATTCATTTCTTTGATAAACATTACCTGACAGTCTAATAAAGCTAAGAACTGGGATATGGAGAAGAATAACACGAAGTTCCTGCCATCACCAGAAACTCTGGTGTTGTAAATTCAGTTTAGATTGCAATATTTAAAAATCTGGCTGTTTGGTGCATGTATAACACATGATCTGGGATTCTTTTTTTGTTTTAAATTGAAATACTCTTTTTTTATTGTAAAAAGCACATAACATAAAATTTACCATCTTAACCATTTTTAAGTGTACCATTCAGTAATATTAAGTATATTCTTGATTTGTTTTTAAACAAAACATTTTTGTGGCTAAATTTTATGTTCTCTGACTTTGTTTTCCAGTGGACTGATAAAAGTATCTGCCTAAAGTGAACATGAACTCATAGTTTGAAAGTATAGTGAGCTGACACAAATGCTCTTTTGCGGTCCTTCGTGCAGTCATCCCACATGTATGGACTGAGTGTCTCCTAAGGGCCATTGTTGTGCTTGGCCATAGGGATAGAGTGGGGAGCAAAGGCAGACAGTGTCCCCTTCACCTAGAGATTAAAGTCCGCTGGGAAAAGATGGACTGCAACTGTCTGGTCCCCAAATAAATAAATAACACATTGCAGTTGTGATAGAACGAACCATCATGGAGAAATATTGGTAGTGAAAGACCATGTAATAGACAGTTTAACTTGGCAGGGAAGGAATGTATAGCTGTCTGAAGAATAAATGGGCTTTAACTCTTAAAAGAGGAGAAGGAAGATTGTCCAGACAGAGTGAACAATTTGTGCAAAGGCGAGAACATGGGGAGTACTCAGGACAGAAGGAAAGCCAGCAAGGCCAGGAGCTTGGGGGAGGGCTGTGTGAGATGGGCGGTGGATGGATGTTGAGGCAGGACCATGCAGGGCCTTGTGGGCTGTGTCATTAGAGCTGTGAGTTTTTCAGAGGTTTTAAATAGTAGATATCTTTCTCTTGTTTCCCAGGTGGTCGGGATCCATATGCAAGGAATTGGGTGTGATGAAATGCTGCAGGGTTTTGCTGTTGCAGTCAAAATGGGAGCCACAAAAGCCGACTTTGACAACACAGTTGCCATTCACCCTACCTCTTCGGAAGAACTGGTCACAATGCGTTGAGAACGCAGACTTGTGTGGCTAGCAGTTGGACCAGTAGACCTTCTGAAATGAACCAAATAATCACATTTACTTAAACTTTTCCATTTTATGTATTTCTTTATTATAATCAGGATCTTCTAATAGTGAAAATTTTTAGAAAATAATAGAATTTATTTATGTAATTGGAAATTTGTTTTGTTATCCAAGATTGATTTTCATTTGATTGCTTCTCATAATAATTAATATTTTCAAGTTTTTTATTAATAACTCTGTGTTAGCTGGTTGTTTTGTTTTTGTTTCAGCCATATCTCAAGTGTAAAACTATATGAGCTACAATTAAATTAATGTACTTGAATGAATATAGCTTGCCACTTTTTAAAAATATGGTTTTTTTTTTTAATTTTAGAGAGAGGAAGGGAGAGGGGAAGAGAGAGAGAGAAACATCGATCGGTTACCTCCTGTACAGGGACTGAACCCGCAACCTGGGCATGTGCCCTGACTAGGAATCAAAGTGGCAACCTTTTCGTGCACTGGACAACAGTCAACCGAGCCACACTGGCCAGGGCTAGCTTGCCATTTTTTATAGAGGAAGATGATAGCATCTGTTCACATTTAAATAATGCAAGAGCACAGAATCTTTTGTTGTATTTTGTTGTTTTTGAAGCCAGTACTGTGATCTGCATATTACAAAGCTGCTTTAAGGATGTGACTCTTCTCTAAAAACATAACACGAGAGGCCTGTCTCCCACATTTTAGTCTTTCTTTTGTTTTAAATGATTAAACATTATTTTTTTCCTTTTATGAGATGAAGCACATCAAATGTGGGAAAGATTTGAGGATGCTGGTCACATAAGTGAGGGACATTTTAAAAGTGATTCCAAAAGGAGAGGGACCCAAACACTTCAGAAGTCCCTTCCTCTGCTAAAAGTTCATAGTTTCAGTGAAAGATTGCAGTTATTGTATGTGTTCTTGTCATTTTATTTTTTTCTGAAAACAATTTCCAAAACTTTGAAAATAAAATCACAGTCTTCTTGTAAAATTGGTTGTTATGAATGTATGGTTCACGGTTCATTTTCTAAGAACATTTCACATTGGAGGTCCAGATGCCAACGCTGAGCCTACCTTAAGAGGGCCTAAAGCCTTTTGGGAGAGAAAAGAGATTTCACTTTTATAAATAAGGACCAGAGGTATAAAAGAAGCATTTAGCAAATGTAATGGTTGCATTGGAAGAACATTCTAGAAATCACAGGTTTTTATCACTTTATTTCCATTAGCCTTTACTAGCTAGGTAAGCTACATTTTCCCATGGCTTTCATTAATGACATAGTGCCACTGACTTCTTTCATTAAGCTTTTACTGGATGTCTTTCTAGTTGATGGTGGCCAGGTTGCTGCACTAGCTCCAGTTAGGTCCAATGTCAATGAAAGAAAATTACCACATTAGTTATGCATATATGTATATAAGTTATTTGGTTAATCTGTAATACTGTCAACAAATAAATAAAAATTTAAAATAAGAAAGTTACCACATTAGTAACTAGGTTATGGGATGACTGCAGCAAGAAAATAGGGTCTAAAAACCTGGACATGAACCAGACTGACACAACCACTTCCCCCTCTTACCCACCAGCCTAAAAGGTAGTGGCCAAGGCTCTGGGCCTCGCTGACCTGGTGGGTTTCTCACAGGCCCCAAACTGGATGTGACTGTAAAGAAAAGGGGAAGGCCCAGCAGTCAATTCTACTCTAACCATGTACTTCTTTTTGTCCCAGATATCCTTTGCACTTCCTGTTTGTACAGTAAACCAACATGAAAGGAATCTTTTCCAAGTCTCAGACTTTGGTGTCATCAGTCCCCAAACTGTTCAGCTGAGAGGTGACTGGCCGACGGCCTGTATTACACAAAGCGCTGGGTCAAGTCACAGTATTTAGGGCAACACACTGTGCAGTATCTGCCACGTTGTAGATGCTCAGTAGGTAGTTACTGAAGGGAATGCTTGCAAGTAACCATATCGGGTAGAATAAGAAAATTCTACACAAATAACTGTAATTCAAAATAACATGTTATGCAAAGGGTGACCATACGATTTATCGACAAAAATGGGACACTTTGGGAAGTAAAAGGGGGCATTAATTGGAACAAAAGGGACAGATTTTTGCTGCTGCAGAAAAATGGGACAGTGCCACCCTAGTTATTAGTGGAATTATACAAGTTCAGAGGAGACAGAAAGTGCCATTTTGCTGGGAAAACTGAAGAAGGCTTTGAGAAAAAGTTCATGTAGGATTTGGAATTTGAGGCGAGAGGAGGAGGGAAGGCATGGAAGGCCCAGTGAGACAGCTGGGTGACGTGGACGTGGGAATAACAGTTCATTCGACGTGCTGGAGCATAGGCGTGCTTGTTTGCTTTGTGTGGAACGTGCTTCCCCACTTGTTTACCTGGTGATCTGGTTAAGTATCGTTGCCTAGCCAACTACCTAAAACTCAGGGCCTTTAAACAGCAGCCACTTTATTACACTGTATCTCACGATTTTGTGGATCGGAAATGAAGCAAAACTTGGCAAGCAAGGGTGACTGTTTTGTTGGTGTTGACAAACACCATTTGGGGATACTCAACTGGTCTAGAAAGTCTAAAATAGTCATTCATATGTCACACTTAGGCAAGGATGACCGGAAAGTTGGCCTCAGCTGAGACTGTCCACCGGAGTTACTACACGTGGCCTTTCCAGCATTGCGGTCTCAGGGTCATGGACTTAATGGAAGCTCAGGGCTCCCAGAGATGGTTTGAAGATTCCCAGGCAGATGCTGCAGGCCTTATGACGTAACCTCAGAAGTTCTAGAACATCACTTCCGCCACATGTTATTGGTTAAACAAGTCACTAAGGCCAGCCTAGATTTAAACAGAAATTAACGGGAATTCGTCTTTCAGTGGGAGGATTGGTAAAGAATTTGTGGCCATCTTTAGTCACACACACCTGGAAATGTATTCATTTTACAAGACTTGACTAAAACTACCTTTGTGAAGACATCTTTAATAGTTTTATGTGTTCCCGTAACACCTTGTCACATAGTAAGTCTACGTTATATGTTCACCTTGTATATGTCATTTTATATTTCATGTCAATAATTTCTATGTTCTCTATGTTGAGTTTAACAACATCATTCCTGTGTGTCATGTAGCAACTTGGGCTGCAAGAGAACAAAGGTGTGTTACTGTGTGATTTTTTAACAATATCTATACTAAAGAGCAAACATTTTAATCCTTTATGTTTTTAAAAAACGAGTAGGCAGGATTTTCAAACTTTTCCCTTTCAGTGAATCTGACCTCCTGGATATAGATGAAGAGCTGTTGGAGGTGGATATGGAAGGTGGTTTCCATTGTGCCCTACTCAAGAAATACTCTTTTATTGCCATTGCCTTTGATACAGTAATTTAGCATGTTGATTCTTCAGCAAGTATCAGTCAACATCTTAAAAGTAAGAATGGTTTTTATGTAGTATATTTTAAGTGCTATTTAGTGTGTTAGGCAGCGTTAAAAGGTAAAAGGTATTGGATGGTAGGGCTGGGGTTATATCTAGTTTTTACATAAATTTTTGTGGCCATGATGCCCCCTTTTAAGTTATCTGCTAATTGTAGTAGGAGACATTTGTATTTTCGGCTGTTCAGCTTACAGACCTAAGTTTAGAGTCTTCCAACCTTATGAGCCTTGGGGAGAGACAAAGCCCATATTCCCACATAGAACCCCCAAAATACCAGATACGTGCTCTCTCAGGCTCCTTTGCAGCTAGGGAGAAGGCACATGACATAGGCTTGGCCAATTGGATGTACCCACCCTGACTGCTCAGAAAACAGTGATGCAATGAAACAGGGATGAGAGAATCCATTCTAGTGACTATGGCAACAACATCAAGGGTTGGCCTGGCAGTAGTGCCAGTGCCTGTCATGTCAGTTTCTAGCTATGGTGGCTGGAACTCTGTGGCAGCAATGGTGACCTCACTGACCCATTTCTGAGTCATGATCTTGGCCACCATGTCTCTGGCTGCCAAGCCTCTGAGCCTGGATCACCAGCCCTCCCAAGATCCTCTGAGCTACCCTATATAGGATAGAGTAATTTTACTTAAATTACCCCAGGTCAGTTTCCAATGTTTAACCAACAACTGAGGCTGATACAGTTTTGTTTTCTTAAAACATAACCTTGAATTACAAGAAAGCTTATACATCTATTATAGCATTTGTTGCATTGCCATTAAATATTTGTCAATGTACCTGTTCCTTTGCTCCTTTCAAACACAGGGAGCATGCTCTACATACTTTTGTACAGTAGTCAGTCCCCTCTTATCCAAGGGGGATCTGTTCTAAGACCCCCTGTGGACACCTTGAACCATGGATAGCACTGAACCTTATATGCTATGTTTTTTTTCTTATTCATACCTATGATAAAGTTTGATTTATAAATTAGGTATGGTAAGAGATTAACAATAATAACAATAGTAAAACAATTATAACAACATACTGTAATGNGATAAAGTTTGATTTATAAATTAGGTATGGTAAGAGATTAACAATAATAATAGTAAAACAATTATAACAACATACTGTAATGAAAGTTCTATGAATGTGGTCTCTCTTTCTTACTGTGTGCTGTACTCACCTTTCTTGTGATGGTGTGAAGTGATAAAATGCCTTATTAAGTTGAGAACTTCCACGATTTCACTTAAAGTAAGCACCTTACGGCTTCTCTGTGGCATATCTGACTTGCCATCATGGCTACTCTTGTGCTTTGGGACCATTATTAAATAAAATAAGGGTGACTTGAACACAAGCATTGCGATGCCCCGACGGTCGATCCGATAACTGAGATGTTTACTACCTAACCAACAGGTGGGGAGCCTGTATGTACAATGTGGATCCACCGGACAAAGGAATAATTCATGTCCCAGGTGGGACAGAGGGGGACCACAAGAGATTTCGTCATGCTACGCAGAATGGCTTGTGATTTAAAACTTATAAATTGTTTATTTCTGGAATTTTCCACTTACCACTTTTGGGCCACAGTTGATCATGGGTAACTGAAACATCAGAAAGCAAAACCGAG